GGTTGGGGTGCATGCATAACCAATTTTGTCAAACACTTCTGTGAAAGGGTTAGGGTGAACAAACAACTGATCCAACATTTCTGGAACAAAGAGATATGTCAGACAGACTGGCTCTAGTCCGTGACCTGGAGGAGGGACAAGTTATGTAAAAAGAAAGGGAAGGGGCGGGGAACAGTGGGTCAAGCAGCAACACACACATCTGGAAAACATTGAGGAGACAAAGAATGCAACGGAAAGAGAGGAGGGTGAACAAAGAAAGAAACCTACAGGAAGAGTAGATTTTCAAATATGGAAATCCTCTTTAACATACAAATCTGGAAAAAGACAAGTTAACTGAAGAGGAAAAACTAAATCAAGGAAAGCTGGTCCAAGGACCCAGACTGGAACCTTTACAAGAGAAACCCCTACCAGGACATTGAAGGAGTCTGGATTCAAAGAGGAGAGTTTTGAGGACTTCATTTTCAGGTAAATAATTTAAATGACGCAGATAAAAATGGAGGAAATGTCTCTTTACTTTCACACCAGTTTAGTGGTTTTAGGCAGAGACATCAGGGAATTTAGTGACAACTTACTATTAAAACCTTTTTTACCATTAGCTTTAGTGGAGGTGTGGGGAGCTAACCTCCAAATCAGAAGGTTGGGGTTGTATCAGCAGCTCCTGCAGCGTGCCAAGGTACCCGTGGGTAAGACACTAAACCCCTAACTGCCCCAGATACCCTAATTTATCTAAAAGTGAGATAAAAGTGTGTGATACCTTTATACACAGCTTTGGACCGTTTACCACTTTGCTGTTTCACATTCTCAAACCTCAGCTACAACCTGTCTAAAGATGGGTTACGGGTGCCACTGGAGGGTTAACAGCTGACCCAGTGGACCTGCTGGATGACTGGGGTGGAGTCATCCCACATAGGCTCCAACATGGTGGAGGCTGTCTCAAGTCATTTGGTGTGGCCACATATTAACCTTCCCGTGATTTGGATGCTGTTATTGGGGAGTGCATCCAAACCAATGTTTAAATATGATAATTGCCATACAATCACAGCTGCTGGGTTACTTAAATCCAAAACGAGCTCTCGTCAAACATTTTTCATGCTTCCTAGCAGTGTGCTAACATAGATAAAAAAAATATTGTGGAGATTAAAATAAAGATAAAAATGAACAAAGTGGTTCTCTCACTTTTGTCTGAAAACCTTCACCAATAACACGGTACAGTCTGATTGACCGCCCCGCCGCACTGCCCTGGGTCCTCCACTCATCACACACTCACGTATTCAGCAGCAGAACACCACTGGTGTGAGAGGTTCTCTGCTCAGAAACATCAGAGAAGGAGAAACAGCCGGCTGCTACCACTTCACCTTCAGGACAAACTATCAGAGTCCCAAAAAGAAAATCACCATTTGAAGTCACGGCCTGGTGCCTCCCATGCCTAGAACATGGCGACTGGTGTTTAGTCCTCTCTCGTTTACTCTGGTAATGCGCTTTCTCATATCATGCTGTTTGGGGGGTGGCCTTGTTATGATGGCCAATGGGAAGGTGGAATTTCTGTTTGTGTTTAAAGGCTAGCTTGTTTGCAGCTTTACAACTGCGTTTGGGACAGACCACTTCACTAAAGACAAACCACATTCATCAGCTCTAGTACAGATTCACCTCCCTACTCTGTCCATCGATTTTCTGTTGCCACATTGCCCTGTGGGATGGGGAGCCGGAGTCTACCCACAGCAGTCAGTGGGGGGGGGGGGGTACACCTTGGGCAGGCTGCAGTCCATCACCCTACTCAATAAAATGGTTCAGCACTTTGTTTTGTTTAGGAAAACGATATGTGCACTTTGTAAGTTACTTGTGAGTCAGTAGACATGGGAAATGCCTTCAGCTGTAAAATTAGGTCCACTGAGCATGGGAGGGAGCTTCCTTCCTGTCAGCATCGCAGCTTCCTGTGTACGCTGGTGGTGTGGGCCACTTGGAGAAAAATCCCAGTGCAATTGTGTATTGGACAAGTTTTACACACACACACACACACACACATGTAGAAACCGGCTTGGGGGGAAATGGACAGCTGACTCTTTTATCCCTGAGTTGGACCGACCGGCTGGGTGACGAACGTTTAAATGTTTCAGGTTTCTTTTGCTCATCTTTCCTTCTGTTCTCCCTCTCTCTGCAGGATGTCAGTGTCTCGCAGGTGTTTATGCTGCGTCAAATACTTGATGTTTGTCTTCAATCTCATCTTCTGGGTCAGTATTACTACAACTTCTACAAGTTTGTCAGTTTTTTTTTTTGCCTCAACCAATGGTTTTAACATCAATTTCTCTAAGTATGTTAAGTCAGTCCCTTAAAGTTGAATTATCTTTCCGTTTCCTTTGAAGCTTGGAGGTTGTGGCTTGTTTGGTGTTGGAGTGTGGCTGTCCTTCACACAGGCAGAATTTTCCTCTCTTCCTCTGTCATTCCCGTCCCTCTCTGCTGCCAACCTCCTCCTGGTCGCTGGAGGGATAACTATGATAACAGGATTCCTGGGTTGTATTGGAGCACTCAAGGAGCAGCGCTGTCTTTTGTTCACTGTAAGAGAAAAACGTTGCAACATTTTTTCATGAAATTCACAATATTTTATACACGAGTGAATGACCCTCTTACTGTCTGAAAACAGATTTTCAACTGTTAGCACTTTTACGTGCAAGGTCAGAAAAGCCAATTACTGCCTCAGTCTGACTGAAGTCAAGCCTCACTGGACCACTCCTAACTGAGCTCACGTACCCAGAGAAAGGACTCAGAAAACTACATTTATGCTCATGTTAAAAAACCTCCCCGTTTAGCCGAGCTATGAGCGGACCGAGCGCTCCTCCTTACTGAAACGATGACACCGCAGAAGTGGTCTTCTGAAAACATCATCACACGTACCAGATAAGCTGCGCTGCAGCCTCGTTGTTTTCCATTCCTTCAGGATTTGTGCATATCCCCCATCTGCTTCACTCCCACTTCACCATTGTTTACTATTTATGTTTCAATATGCCACAGATAAACAACTCCCTTACCCAAGGGATGATTTCCAGCATGTTTTAGTTGTTTCCCTGCTTCGACAAACCTAAATGTGATCAGCAGGTGATTAACAGGCTTCTGTAGAGCCTGAGGAGCTGCTGAACAGGTGAATCAACTGTCTGGACATGTGGGGAAGATGTCTGACTTTTTTATTCTGTCAGGAGACTTAGGCTCCCACGGTGGGTCATCCACTCAAACACTCTTCATGCGTGTTCACCTTGTCTTTGACGTACTTTCATCTGGAAACCTGTCAAACTAACTGTCCTTCTTTGGTCTATGTGTGCAACCTACAGAGCTACGTGTGTTAACCGTGTAACTCAATGGTCAACTGATAGATAAACGGTAAAGGGCCTGTATATAGCGCCTTCTAGAGTCCTGGAACCCCCCCCAAGGCGTTTTATAACACAATCAGTCATTCGTCCATTCACACACATATTCACACCCTGGTGGTGATGAGCTACGATGTAGCCACAGCTGCCCTGGGGCGCACTGACAGAGGCGAGGCTGCCGAGCACAGGCGCCACCGGTGCCTCCGACCACCACCAGCAGGCAAGGGGGAAAGTGTCTTTCCCAAGGACACAATGACAGCAACTAACTGATTACGGGGCAAGAATTTAACTCCTGTGCCACCGTCACCCCGGTGGTGTTCTGGATCTAAACAAAGGAGGTCAACGGGGGAGGGCCGTCTTCTTGCCCTCCAGCCAGAAGCTGGGGGTTGAGGACTAGGGCGTGTGACGTCATGACGTGTCAAGGTCTCTATAAAGAGCCTAAGTCACGCCCATCTACTTCCGGCTCACGGGTCCCCGGAAGAACAAAAAAATAAACGCAAGTCAACGGGGCTAAAAACGCTATTTTCTAATTTCGCTTGTTACGTACCATGGATTTCACTTGTGATGTCCGTGAATTTTAAAGACACATTTTGATACCAAGAACGCGCTTATTTTCGATTGGGGGAAACGCTATTTTAGGTTTTGTGTGAAAATAAGTCCAGGACTACAAATGCACATCACAAAAGTGACGTCATCGAACCAGACACAGAGAGAACTGAGGGAAAATGGCTGTACGTTCAGCAAACTTCCCGCAGGAGGAAAGAACCACCATAAATCTGGTCATGTGGTAAGCCACAGCTACGCTAGGGGGAAGGAGATTATGTGGTGATGTCACATATGTGACATGCCGAGGTCTAATATGTAGTCATGCTAATTATGAACTTTTACAAGCTGATAAATCTCAAACTGTGTGACTGGCGTGGTCGAAACACCCATCATTACTTTTCATATAAATTGCAGTAAAACTTATGTGTGACCCAGGGCGTAAGGCTAAGCGGGTTAGAAAATAGCTCTTTTAGCCCCTTTGACTTGCTTTCATGTTTTTATTCTTCCGGGGACCCATGAGCCGACCGGAAAGGGCGGAGACTCCATATAGGCTAACCAGAAGAATGCCAAGAGGAAAGGGCACATGTCGCCGCCTACCACCGCCGCTGAGTGGAATGTACTTCATTCAAAAAGTCTGTTTTCCATCAGATGTGGCTGGTCAACCCATTTGCTCAATTATTGCCATAGTTTGACTTAAATACACATGGATACACACTGACTGATGTGGTCTTGAGGTTTTTACTTTGTCAGCATCTTAAACTAAATCCTGTTACCTGTTGTCCTTCTGTCTTCCACAGTTCTTTGTGATCTTGTTGCTCCTGGTCCTAACAGAAGTCACTCTTGTCTTGGTCATTCACTTCTTCCATGAAAAGGTGAACTCACTTAGTCCACTAGATCCATTTACAAGGGATCAAGTTCTGTTTAGTAATTTCCAGTTTCAGAATGTAATTTATGATAAAGTAAAGCCATGATATCTTGAAACTACCCACAGTCTCTACCTGCAGATTGAAAAACAACACAGCACAAACAAAGATATTATATAATATAATGTAATGTAATATAATATAATATAATATAATATAATGTAATTTAATGTAATATAATATAATGTAATATAATATAATAATATAATATAATATAATATAATATAATGTTATGTTATGTAATTTTATGTAATATGATGTAATGTAATATAATGTGATGTAATGTAATGTAATTTTATGTAATATTATATAATAATATTATATTATATTATATTTTACTTCACTTTATTTTATTATATTATATTATACTATATTACATTACATTACATTATATTATATTATATTATATTATATTATATTATATTATATTTTAGTATATTATATTACATAAAATTACATTATATTATATTATATTATAAATACAATATAATATAATATAATTCTTTTGATTTCTAGGTGCTTTTCATGACACTCAAATTAACAATATAAAAAACTAAAACAACAAACAGCAGCACCAGTCTCCTTGGGAGCTGAGGTTGGTCCAGGTTACCCCGCTGTTCTGTTGTTGCCAGCGACCGCGAGCCAGGCAGGAATGGGAGTCATCCGGCAGATGACCTGGATGAAATGCATCTGGTGGTCGTAGGATAGAGGATCCAGAAGCAGGAGAGGGAAAGGTTTCCAAGACAGTCGCATTGATGAAGCTGTGAGCCTCACACAGCATCTCCCTTGCTTGCCTCGTCATCAACACTTCCTTCAAAGTTCCGCTCAATGCAACGAGCTGAGCAGGAATGCCGTTACTACAACAAACAGCAGGCCAAAGGGCCTTCTAAAGTCACGGATGTGGTACTGAAGATATCTGAGGTTCTGACTGAGATCCAGGAGTGTGAGTTGGTCTTGGGAAACAATGGGACTGGAAACAACTCAGAAGTAGCATAAACATTAAAGATAGCAAGAGAGGTAGACGGCAAGCAGAAGTAGCAGGTGCCAACTTGATCTTGACCCGAGAGAACAGCATCACAGACGCTAGCAGGTGAAATGAGTTTCCTCCACAGGGTGGGTGGGCTCTCCCTTAAGCCTAGTTTATGCTTCTCCGTCAGCTCCATGGGGGAGAGACACGCATGGACAGAGACGTTTTGCTCTCCGACTTCTCCATCTTCTGGGAGTGTTGCAAAACAATTCCCCACCAGGACAACAGAGGGCGTAGCGCTGTTCCGTAGTATCCTGTAGCTCCACTGAGTCCATTCTTGCGAGCCTGCTGGGGAGCCCTCGAAAGATAATGGCGTTGCGTGTCTTCGTATCGATGCGTATGTAGAAGTATAAATTAGGCTTTAGAGATGGGGGAGAGGCTCGGTCGTCTGGGAGGGGCTCGGAGTAGACTCGCTGCTCCTCCACATCAAGAGGCGCCAGTTGAGGTGGCTCGGGCATCTGTTAGGATGCCTCCCTGGTGAGGTTTTCTGGACACATCCAACCCAGAGAAGATCTAAAGGAAGACCCAGGACACGCTGGAGGATCTACGTCTCTCAGCTGGCCAGGGAGTGCCGTGGGATTCCCCGGTGAAGCTGGCCCAAGAGCTAAAAGGAGCAGAATTACCATTTCCACTGTACAATGTAGCCAGTATGCATTGGGTACTTACAGACAGACGCACCACGACCTTTCTAGGATCTCACTGTGTCACCAGCCCATGCAGAGCTGAGTGGTTGTGTTTCAAATCAGAGCGTAATTGTTTCAGTGAGTAACTGTGTGTGTTTCTGTGTTTGCAGGTTGATGCAAAAGCACAGGCTGAATTAAAGGAAGGCATGAAAGTCTATAATTCAGAACCTGGAATGAAAAAATCCTGGGACAACGTTCAGAGAATGGTGAGCATGCATCAGACACCACACTCAGACCGAGTTGTGACAAAGCACACTTCAGCACACTTACAGTGAATACATGAAAGTTACATTTAGTAAAAATGTTGTTTCAGAGGTCGTCAGTTTGTTGTCTCTCTGTTGGAGACCAAACAGTGAACAGCCACATCCGATGATGTGAAGTAGACCAGTTTTAATCCTGTCCTTCTCCCACTGGTGTAGTTCAAATGCTGTGGAGTGACCAACAAAACAGACTGGTATGATGTGCTGAATGGAACGCTGCCGTCATCCTGCTGCCCTGGTGGAGAAGAGAAGTGTGACGAATGGAGTGAGGTTGGTAAACGCTGTAGTGGTCCTCAGTAGCAACAAGGACACAGAACTATGACACTTTGACTCAGCACACGGGACTGTTCAGCGTTGTTTAGTCTGAGGGGTCCTAAACGTGAAACACGAGACAGCAACAGTTTATTTATAAGGCTCTTTACAAAAAACAGTTGCAGCTGACCAAAGTGCTGCTCAAAAGGACTTAAGAACACTTAAATCTAGTTTAACACACACAACAAATAAAAGCATGTAAAAAACAGCCTCAGTTGTGATCAGGCTGAACACTAAACTTCAAGACTGAAGCACCAAAGTTTAAACGCAGTAAGAGGTGGGTCTTAAACACAGTTATGGAAGGGGACGTCTCACCACCAGAGATATACCGTAGCTGAGGGCTGTATGCAGTATTCTGACCCCCGTCAAATCTACGCTTATGTTGCAGCCATTTGTTCAAATCAGTTCTATTCTTTTTTCCTCATTATTGTACAGACAGAACTCCATATTAACAGAAAAATGCAGAATTTTTTTAATTTCTGCAAATTTATTAAACAAAAACTAAACTATCACATGGTCTTAAGTATTCTGACCCTTTGTCAGTATTGAGTAGAAGCACCTTTAGAGCTAATGCAGCCGTGGGTCTTCTCGGTAAAGGTGTAACAAGTTTCTTACACCCGGATGTGGGGATCCTCTCCAGTTCTGTCAGGTTGGATGGTGAACGTTGGTGGAGCCATCTCTAGGTCTCTCCAGAGATGCTCAATTGGGTTTAAGTCAGAGCTTCTGGCCGTTGGAGCCGAAGAACAGATCACAGCAACGGCTGAGCTACCTCAGCTTTCAAACGCCCCCAGCATGACCAGGCTCCGTCCCACGTTTCCTGTTTAAATCTTGCATAAACTGCGTGGAGAAAGCCGTGGCTGGCGTCAGGTGTGGAGCTCGCTCTCGAACCACCAAAGCGGATGAGTTGAGCAAGCGCGGTGGAGAACATGCTGTTGAAAATGACTTGTTTCTGCTCTGATAGAGTCTTTGTGATGTTTCTCTGAGTCATTTCTCCATGTCACGGTGAGGAGTCTGATGTGAAACGGTGCAGACAATCTGAGTCATATAATCCATGTTGGTCAAATGCAGGTTTCCCAGTAATTAGCCAGGTTCATGCTATAACACAGACGAGGTGCTTGGGTCAAGCTAAACCCTATTAAAGCACATTACAGTGATGCTGAGAGGATGAACAGAAGCCTTCTAAGATAAAATCTGACTTTTTTCAGAGAATTAAGTCACTGATGTATTTATCTCTTAACTATTTAGAGATTTATTGTCATTTTAGAATAAATACCATTTTATTTCTAAATTAAAAAGAACATTTGGAAGAGCATGGTTATTCTATTCAATGGGACGTTGATGTTGATGGGATGTTGATTACAACTTAATGTAATTAAAACAAAATATTTGATCATTGATTTTAGAAGGAAGCCACAACAACATCATGATCTTTCCATAATCAAAGGTCAAACTATTGAGCAAGTGAAATCATATAAATATTTGGGGACAATTATTGAAAGGGAGTTGAATTTAGAGGAAAACTGTGATGCTGTGGGTAAGAAAAGCCAGCAGCGTTTGTACTGCCTTAGAAAACTGGCCTCATTCCATGTGGACAGGACTATAATGTCCATGTTTTATTGTTCTTTTATTGAAAGTGTTTTATCCTTTTCCTTAGCCTCATGGTTTGGTCAGACAAATCTTAAACAAAAGGAAACATTGAACAGGATTGTAAAGTGGTCGGGTCGTCTGCTAAGAAAAGCAGTGAAAAGTGTGGCACAGCTGTATAGTGGGCAGGTAGAGAGAATTGCCAAAGCTATTGTTAGGGACATGGGCCACCCACTGCATGCCCAGTTTACTCTCCTGCCATCTGGATGGAGATTTATTGTGCCAAAGTGCAGGACCAAGAGGTATAAAATGAGCTTTATTCCTGAGGCAGTAACGTTACTCAATAAGAATTGAGTGTGGCGTGGCTATTTTATTTTATTTTTATTCATGTATTGTTTATATTTTTTACTGATGTGTGTGTTTTGTGACTGTGTGTGTAACCTGGGCGCTAATTCACGGGTTCGGGGCCCTCGGGTAGACCTTGGCTCCTCTGCTGTTCCATCACAGGGGAGGGGGAAGTCCAGGAGGGGGAGGACCCAACCTTACCTGGATGTGCTATATCTTTTATAATTTGGAAGTTGTGCAAATGCAGGGATGGGCGCAGATATTCTGCTGGGGTGGGGCTGGGTTGGTGCCCTCGGACTCTGTGAGGCTCTGTGATGCTGCTGCTTTGGGCCCTGGCAGGATGGGTTGGGTTCTCCATGCCCTGGGTGGCAATTTGACAACAGAGTAGCCTATTGGGGCCAGTGGGGGAGCTGGCTCCCTGGAGGGCTAAGCCCATCCAGCCATTCCTCCCCATCCCCGCATATTTCTCTCCCCCTGCTCCCACACACCATCACACAAACATACACATAGGACCTTGGGGGGTGGACAAGTCAGGGGGTGTGGGTATGGATCCCCATTTCCGCATTCCTGTGGCAACCTGCCCCCCAATTTTATTTGCACCTTATACACTTCCACCGACGACATTCCACGCAAACACACACTTAGGGCCTTGGGAGTGAGCACATTCAACGGCATTTGGCAGGGGGATTTTTCAGCCTCATCCCGAGTGCCGGTGCCCACTTCCAATTTTTAACTGCACTTAGACACTGAGGGCTGTGGATGCAAGTGGGGTGGTGTGGTGGCATCAGCTGGCATATGCCAGACAATGCCCGCAGTGCCCGCTCACCACAGCCATGGAATACACCTCATCAACACTCACTAACACCATATTGGAGCAGGCGGAGGGAGACTAGGGGTCTTAGCACACCTCTGTTGTTGCTTGGCTTCCTGGGGCTGGAGGCTAGGAGGGAGATCCGGCCGTCTGGTTGGGGTCTGGGGTGGTGGGTTGCTGTGCTCAGCGTTGGGTGGGGGAGCCTGCTCATCAACGCCCCAGCAGAAAGGATCGAACTCTGGGAACCGGTAATGGTTGTACCCCTTGTGCAGCAGTACCGGGACCAGAGTGAATAGGGTGTGTATGGGGAGCATGAGTGGGTGTCCGGCATGCATTTTTTGTAAGTCTTTGGTTGTATGTGTATGTGTGAGCATGAGGGAGGGAGTGTGTGACTGTAGTTGTGTATGACTGTATATGTCAGGTGGGGGCTTTGACTCCTCCCTTCTCCTGGGACTTCTTTTGATCATATAGATCTTTGTCTCCCCTCCCCCTGCCACACCTGGTGTGGAGTGTGGTGCCTTGGTCTCCCTGGGTCGTGGCTCCCAGGTCAGGGAGTTTAAGACTTTTGACATCTGCCTGACCAGTCCTGGTGGCTGCCTGGTGGGGTCTGGGTCCCTGGGCTCTGCTGGGTCCCCGACGCGGATGGTCGCCCCTGGGTCCCGGGTCGCTGGGTCTCGGGCTCGGCCGGCTAGGGGGTGGGAGGCTGCGTGTGGGCCTGTGGGCTTGCCGCCAACATCTCCCGGGACTCTGCCGGCTGCTGGTTGTGGCCCCCCGGGGCGATCCTCTGCGCCTCTCTGGGGCTTTTCTGGTTGCGGTCTCCCTGGGTTTCCTGTGCTCTGGGACAGCTCCTGGATCTCTGGGACTTGGAGCTCCCTCCGTCTCCTGCACATCTTTAGGGGCAGATCTGTGGTCCCTCACACTCTATTGGACGCTCCTATAGAGAAACCTTACATAAACAAGCGCGTGTACACACACAGGTGCTCACATGGCGCTCTCATAAGTATGGCCTTGGGCACGTTCAACACATGTCTTAAGGCTGTGGTTGGCACTAAATGCACTGTGATTTATTATCGTGTGATTGTTCAGTTAAACAATGTTGATTATATATTTCTTCATCAAGTTGACGCAGTGATAGCTTGATCTTGTGGTATTGTTGTTGTTTCCCATTTTTTTGTTTGTTTGTTGTTTTTGTTTTTTGGGGTTTTTTTCTTCTCTCCTTCTGCAGGTCTAGAAGCAGACTCTTGTTCATCATTGTTTATTTTGTGGGGGACCCCCCCTCTCTCTCTCTCTCTCTCCCCACCTTTTGTCTTTTCCTTTCTCTTTCACCTCTGACTCCGTGTCTGGTCGGAATTACAAAGCATTCAAAAACAATAACAATAAAGTTTTAAGTATCAGGCGTGACATTAAAGCAGACGCTTTGATGCTCCACCTGAGAGTAAATCTGTTAGGCTTGTTACCAGTATTCAGACATCAATTCTGCTTGCTTCACAGCCAGACCGGACACACAGGAAAAAATAATAATAAAAAAAGAAGTTTAATTCAAATAGACATGAAATATAAAATAATAACAATAATTACATATATACTATATGTAACTGTGATTTTGAAAGGCATTGTAAACATTTTCACCAATTTCTTTACTTCATTTAGTTGCATTGGAATTTCATGCTGTCCTACATGCCCCCCCACCCCCACCCCCACCCCAAGTATTTTAATTGTCAACCCATAATAAGCTATGCATTCCCTTCCACGTGTCTGTCTGCAGCCATGTTACAGGAAGGCCAGGCAGTGGCTGCTTGATAACATTCCCTCTGTCCTGGTGTTTGGAGTGTGCATTGGTGTCGTACAGGTATAGGCTTGATACAATACACACCAACTATTTCAACCTTCAGAATAAGCACTTGTAGCGCTAACCCACGTGCTCTCCCGGCAGATCCTGGCCCTGGTGTTTTCCATGCAGATGTACTGTCAGATCCTTCATGCTGAGAAAAGCTTCGACTGACTGAGGGTTTCCTGCTCATGTGGACAATGATGGCTCTCTCTAGCCTGTGAAGAGAAAGCAAAGCTGCTGCTGATGCTGAGTTTAGATTTGAAATCGTTTGCTTTGAAATCCTCTCAAGTGACAAAGTTACAAACATGTTATGTTAGTTATTTGCAAAAATGTTACCATGTGCCTATGACCACTAAATGCCTCACCCACACAGTAAATACACATGCTTTTGGATGACTTTTTCCTGGAGAATTTTTGTTTTGTTAATATTGTACAACAGCCCATGAAGAATAAACGAGAGTAAAACGTTTAGACATACATTTTTCTGTTTTTGTTTTTATTTGTGTGATTATTTTATCATTCTTATAGTACAAATAGAAAAAGCTTGCCTAAAATGTTTCGGTTACAGATGATGTCATCACTACAGTCCTCACACACGGGAGCATCTCAGAGCTGCTTTGGAACATCTGGATTCATCACTAGCTTTGTTTTCAGATGATTAAGGTGCAGTGGAGTTGCATTTTAATGCAAATAAAATATATCTAGTCATAACTCATATTACAGGATGTAGCCACTTTCCCTCTCTAAGGTTGGCTTTGTGTTTTATTGTTTTAGTGTGTTTTTGTTTATTTAGCATAGTTTTTTCCCAAAGTGACTCACAACTCTGGAGAAACCAAAACGCCTTCCGTAGCATTAAGGATTGGCTACTTTTTAATTAAATGAACAATAAGATGTGATGTTCCATATGAATATGAAATATCAATCTGATTGGTCTTTGAATATTTGATTTAATATTCCTTTAGTTTCTTTGACTATTCAGGAAACACACACACTTCATATTAATTCAGACAGAGTCAAGAATATCGTTAATAAAAATTAGTTTATTTCTATTTGAAATAAGGTATGAATGTAATGGATGAAGTGATTGAAAATGGTTGAAATGATGGAATGGAGGCTAGATGTTTCAGCAAAACCTTTCTTAAGTATCTGAGAGAGTTGTGGAGTCTGGGTGGTAAAATCTATTTGGCTGTACGCTAAACTTTATTTATAAAACCATCCAATGCCAGTGTGCAGAGTCTATGATACCCTTGTGTGACTGTTGCTACCGGCGGTCCTAAGGAAAGGCGGCCCGAGTGGGGAGGTCACCGGACGTCGAGACCACAAGAACCCAAAGAGTCGTAGCTCCGTTTTTATTTAGCTTTCAATGGCCATGAGATGCAGCCCAGACCTGCAGGTTAGAAGTCTGTCTGAGGTGTGGAGTGGCTCTTAAAAGAGCCGTCGCGTCTGAATCACTCGCAGCGTTGCAGAGAGGCTTTGACCTTGGGGTCGAAAGACAGGATGGCCTCAAATGCTTGCTCACAGGTTTGGCCGAACCAGGAGGCAGCTGGAAAATGACTAAATCAGGAAGTAATTCCTGTTTATATTACTTCTTGTCTACAGATGTGGACAAGTTAGAATTTGACACATTTTAAAAGGCATTACCAAAACACCTCAGAAGTGATGCCTTCACTCAGATACTGAGGTTTATCTCAGTGTGAAGTGGAAATCGTTTTAACACTTATGTGAAGCTAAAATGTTAAACATTACAGTTTTTCTCAGTTGTTTACACACATTTTCTGGTACTTGAAACGCAGTGACCACAACATGTAACCAATTGACCAACCCCCTTAACCAATTCTACTAAACTACAAGCACAATTCCTGCGTTGCACTCAAATTGCAAATCTAAAACACGTTTTTTTTTTTCAAAACACTACACACAATTCACTGCTTTTGGCACAATTTTCAGGCAGAAAATATCTTGTTTTCACAAGGAACACACTGGTATTCAAATATGCACACTGACTCATCACAAGGGCAAACACCCATCGCACAGTTTTACAATCAGCAATCAGAGCTTTAGCATAAAAGGGCAACAGGTGAGCTCTTCTGTGTTGGAGCAATGGATGCCAACATTGGAAACAGAGGCAGAGCCAGAGGAGTGAGAGTAAGAGGCGGAGGACGGGGAGGACGAGGAAGACCAAGGACCGTCATCTCTGATGAGATCCGAGCCACTTTGGTTGATCATGTGGTCAACCATGGTCTTACAATGAGGGAGGCTGGGCAGAGAGTACAGCCAAATTAGAGCAGGTACACTGTAGCATCCATCATCCAGACTTTCCGGATGAGAATAGGTAAGAAATCTTCTCTCACTAGAAAATGGCAGTACTGCATATCAATACAATCGGTATTCAGTTAGTATAGTAGTAGTTTTGCCTGTGAATGGTTTTGTTGGACAGTAAAAATACTGTAAAGTATATTTCCAGGATTTAGGAAATGTATACCTACTTTGTATTCACAGTATTTTACTATTTGTTTGGCAGAACTGAAAGATTACCGACACGAGGAGGTCGGGAACGTCTTCAGTCTCCTGAACAGGAAACTGAAATCCTCAACATGGTGCAAGAAAACAATGTCATAACATTACGGCAAATACAAAGAAAAATGGTAGAAAACAACGACACGTTTCACTGGACCATGTGCAGATATCACCTCAGGATGAAGCAGGTCTACAGGGTGCCGTTTGAACGCAACTCAGAAAGAGTCAAAGAATTGCGATATAACTATGTGCAAGTGAGTCCTGCAACTGATGCATACACTCAACACTGTGTACAGTAAATTATACATATTTCAATATTGTACTCATAATGATTGTGCTTCACAATAGTGACCACTCCATGTTTATTCTGATACTGTCATGTGTGTTTCAGAGAGTCCTTGAGCTAGAGGCAGCTGCAGTGGAGCACCAGCTCATCTTCATTGATGAGGTTGGGTTCAACCTCACAAAAAGACGAAAGAGGGGAAGGAATATCATTGGCCAGTGCGCCATTGTTGAAGTCCCTGGCCAGCGCGGAGGAAACATCACAATGTGTGCAGCGCTTGGCTACCATGGCATCATCCATCACCATGCTACCCTTGGCCCTTACAACTCCGCCCATCTGATCACATTCCTAGACACCCTACACAACACACTCATTCCACCAGACCAGGTCGATGGTCCAGAAGAGCCTGTATACAAACTACTGCCAGCTGCTCCCTCTCTGTTGGACTTTGGTACTGCATGTTACTTCCGCGATTTAGATCTGGGGCTTTCCATGAAACATCCGGGGCTTCAGCCCAAGTAGCCGGGCCTAACGCCGCCCCTGATGCAGCATAGTTTTCTTTTTTACTGTAACTGTATACAGTAAATTCTTCTGTTGGATGTAGTTTATGTGTGCAACTTTGTGTTGGTTGGGAATGGGATAAACATTGTGTACAATGTTTTGTGGGAAAAATAAAATCATTTCTACCATGTGTTTGTGTGTTCAGAGTGTAAAAACAATGTTCTGAAATAACACGTGCATGTATATACTGTCTGTAGTAGGTGTAACACTGACCCAAAAAGGCTTTAGTCATTATGATGAATGGAGAAGAAGTGTTTCCATTCATCATAGTGTTTCACATTGAGCACATAGGTGTTCTGCTGGTTCTTATAAGTGTCTGTTCATGTGATGGTGTGTGTGTGTCATTTGACAACAAAATCACATTTTGAGAAGTAACATTGTTTTGAATGTGAAGTTTCATTTTGCAGGTTAATTGAGGGGTTTTGCCCATTGTGTATGTATTTTTGGATTTGTGTGTAGAGTTCTGAGAATATGAGGCATGCTTTCAGGAAATGTGTGTAAACAATTGAGAAAAACTGTAACACTTCATTGATTAAATGCACAGATTATTCACACACTTTAGGATTAACAAGTCTTGTTCATTCAACACATTTGATTATAACCACCTATAAAGTTGAAAAGTCATTTATGATTCAAGGAAGATGAACTTTATTCAGAGTGAAAGTGCAGAAAGTCTCGTCTTCTGCATGAGACCTTGAGCAAAGATATTATGGCTTCCTTGTTCGGTAGCACGTCATATATCCTTGCTTTTCTTGTTTGTAGTGTTTGTGTCTGCAAATTAAAAAGTAAATTTCTGTTCATTCTGATGAAAAAACTTGACCTTTGGGTACGCTACTCTTGACACAACTTGGTGCTATACAAATAAACTCAATGAAATTGAGTTTAAATGGCCGCCCACTGAAATGTCACCAGTTATCCTGAAAATATTTTGGATATCTTAAAATAGTGTTTTTAACTAATTAAAACATAAATAAAGGATATCCTAAATAACTACAAATGTAAATCCGGACATCCTTTTATAATCGCTCCTCTTCTGAGGATGACAATGTCTTCTGGGCTCAGAAGCAGCTGCTTGAACTACAGAGTCCGCCATTTTCCACAGTGCCATCCTCGCTGCCTGGCAACCCGCAATGGTTCCCTCTACTGGCTGGTAGGTATAAACATAAACCCAGTGACGTGCCCGTCAAAAATAATTATTGGATTATTTTTTTATTAAAATTTTGCGTTTGAAGGAAATACTGTAGCTTCATTCTGCACACCTCTAAACACCCAGTGGAAGATTTTTTTTAATATAGCTTTTAAATGGTTCCATATTCAACTCCTACTAGGAACAATAGAGTTATAGATATCTGTAATGCGTATCCAGCCTGCCTAATAAATGTTAAAATGGCTTGCCACAGCCTGTCGATTTCAGAGAAAGGCAGCGTGATTCTGGGAGTGCAGCAGGCTGAAGAACTGACCCAGGATCAGTGTCTGTCTGACTAAACTGCAGAGCGGATGTTTTATTTTGGGTTGTTTGCAGGATGATGTAGAAATGAGAATGACTTGAACTGGAACATTTTTATTTTTCATGAAAATGTTTCCATAAACGTAGCGTTTGACACCACCGACAACGACCAATAGACACCAACAATAAGGTTTCATCATACTGTATAACGTAATGCTTCAACGTGATGTCCCTTTAGGCCCTAGGCCTTTTTTCTTTGGGCTCCCAATCAGAGGCCTTTGGAGTTTCATGTCCCAAGTGTCAGTGATTGTCTGCGTTCCCCGAGCACAGCTACAGCTACAATCAAACCAGTTTAGATTGTAAACAAAGAAAGTTTTGGTTTTTGATACATTAAGATAAAATAAAACTTGAACTTTATTCTAGAAGAGCTGCCCTGTGTGAAAGTGCTGACAGGATGGAGGCTGTGAGTTCAAATTCCATTTAGGAAATTTAGTCCATTGTTTTATTTATTCCAGGGGGCCTCAACTACATTTGTTCAAGGGTTTTTTCCAGCAGACACCAGAGAAGGTCTTCTAAAATAAAGTTCAATCATCATTGCATCTTAATTTATTTCAATTTAAAACGGCCTTGTTTGCCATCTGGGCTGTTTGGTTGTGGTTTTAGTCGTGTTTGGAGAATGTGGACACTTGTAGATGTTTGGGACATGAAAGTGTAGAGGCTCCCGATTGGGGGGGTGTTAGGGTTAAACAGGTTAACCACAGATTTTTCACTCCCAGATAGAAATAAGAATTTATAAAAGGTTGGATTTAGGATCATAAATCCACAGCTATCAAATCCAGTTTTTTTTTTATAAACTGTTGATAAAAAAACAAGATGTACCAAAGTGCTGCACAGTTAAACGCACATCAAAAACGAAAAGAAACAATACAGTGGCACAAAGACACACCAAGTCACCAACTCTGACACAAAAAACCCTGATTAGCTGATTAGGACAAAACGTTCCAAAGCCACTGTCCAAATAACGACCGTATACCGGTGACACGAGGATTTCATGATCCGCGGTTGTGGACACGTCCAAGAGCACCAAGTGTGTCCAGAGTCAGACGACATTTCGACCCTCAGCAATGCAGACTCCCTGCTGTGAAGATTCTTAAAACACAGACTGGAAAACCTTGGGAATGTCATGCTCATCCAGGAGCATTTTCAGTGTTTACAGCCATCTTTTTCCAGGAGTTTAGGCAGCAGAGGGAGCTTGGAAAGGGTCGATGTGAGCCAAGAAAACCAAAGCAGTAGGTCAAGTCATCAGGAGTGTTTGCAGCTCGATCAAACTCTCACGTGGCTGCATCGACACGAAGGAGTTTAATATAAAAGCCTGTTTCAGCCTGAGTACTACAATAAATACTACTACAGTACAAGTCTACAATACACAGTACTACATGTTCTTAGACATCACCTGTTTCATCTGCAAGAAATAAATAGATGAAACATTGTTGACTTCTGCCTGTAATCGACACAGTAAGATGTAAATACTTCCTGATTCCAGACGTTTTCCCAACTTGGTGCGACAGAGTTCCGTAAACGGCGTAGAGTTTGAGAGCAAACATCACATTCGTGCTGTTCCCGTCACGCCAGGCTGATCCTGGTGGCCGTGACAGTGAATGTGTCAAAATAAAACAACATTTAGAGATTGTTCAACTTCAGTTATTTTACAGATGATAAAACAAAAACCAAATGATCAAATATACAATAGTACCCGTGCACCAAAACAGTCAGTCATGTGAAGTTACATTTATGTTGGTAACTTCTGAGACAATAAAGGGGACGACTCCTGCTATTTTGGCTATTTGGAGTAACTATAGTAGTACTTTATTACTGCCTGATCTCTCGAAAGTACTAAACCTGACAAACACTGAACTAGACCTAACCCTAACCACTGTAGTTATGTATCTTTCCCATTAGCTTAAATATTAACTGCAAATACATTTGAACAGACTGGTGCATTAAACGTTAGTCAAGAGCAAGTCAGCAGTTAACCCCGTCAGTTTTCAGATGGAGGATCAGTCGAACTTGTTAGAAACCAACTCAGACCAGAGCCACTAGTGTCAGACAGGTTTGTTTACGGCCCAGTTGGCAGGGAAACCAAAGCAGACGTGGTAGTAGGTAGCACCTGCAATACCAGTAGTCGGAGTTGGGGGGGTAGTAGACAGTAGCAGCTTCCAGGTTTTAGTTTTCTAAATAAATAAGGAAAATGGTCTCCTAACCTTACCACAGGTAAAACCCTAAGCAGCTGGTTTACGGGTGGAACAGTGAAAACTAGAATCAGGTCCATATTCGTCAGTAATCCAGCTCAGACCGAGAGACCATCTAAAGGCTCAGGAACCCTCTGCAGGTGCTCTGGATTCATCAGCTGATCAGAGTGTGACACTTTGAGTCTAGAGTATGTTTATGTATGTTTATGTTTATGTATTTAGCAGACGCTTTTGTCCAAAGCGACTTACAATTGATAATCGGCATGTTGCCCTTGAGGCTAACAACAACAATAACAACAACAACTTGACATCAATCATGGAGAGGAGGGAACAAGGAGTGGACAGTAGAGAGGGGGGACGGGTGCAGGGAGGGTGCTAGTTTAGAAGATGCTCTCTGAAGAGCAGGGTCTTCAGGAGTTTCTTGAAAATTGAAAAGGAAGCTCCTGTTCTGGTAGTGCTTGGTAGGCCATTCTACATTTGTGGAACGATGCATGAGAAGAGTCTGGATTGTCCTGAGCGTGGTGTAGGCACTGCTAGCCGACGATCCTGTGATGACCAGAGCGGCCAGACCGAGACGTAAGCCTTTGCAAGAGGATTCAGGTAGATGGAAGCCGTACCATCTCGGACTTTGTATGCTAGTGTTAGCAATTTGAATTTGATGCGTGCTGCTAGCGGTAGCCAGTGGAGCTCAATGAACAGAGGGGTGACGTGTGCTCTTTTTGGCTGATTGAAGACCAGACGCGCCGCTGCATTCTGGACCATTTGAAGAGGTCTCACAGTACAGGCTGGAAGACCAGTTAGAAGGGCATTGCAGTAATCGAGGCGGGAGATGACAGTAGATTGCACCAGGAGCTGGGTGGCATGTTGTGTTAGGTATGGTCTGATCTTTTGTATGTTAAACTGCGCAAAGCGGCATGAACGAGCAACAGAGGCAACAGGATCTTTAAAGCTCAGGTGTTCATCAATCACAACACCCAGATTTCGAACTGCCTTTGAAGGAGCCAGAGATAGGAAGTCATTTTGGATTGAGATATTGTGCTGTATGGATGATTTTGCTGGGATGACAAGTAGTTCAGTTTTAGAGAGGTTGAGTTGGAGATGGTGGGATTTCATCCATTTTGATGTGTCAGAGAGACAGTTTGATATTCGTGCAGAGACAGTGTGGTCGGCCGGTGGAAATGACAGATAGAGCTGGGTGTCGTCTGCATAGCAGTGGTAGGAGAAGCCATGTGATCGAATGATCTCACCCAGTGAGGTGGTGTATATGGCAAAGAGAAGAGGTCCTAGTACAGAGCCCTGGGGGACTCCTGTGGCAAGATGGTGCACGGTAGAGGATTGTCCAAGCCAAGATACACTGTATGATCGTCCTGTGAGGTACGATTCAAACCAGGCGTGTGCTTTCTCTGTGATGCCCATGCTGGAGAGTGTGGACAAAAGGAAGCCATGGTTGACTGTCAAATGCAGCCGATAAGTCGAGCAGGATAAGCACGGAGGATTTGGCAGTCGCTCTAGCTTCTTTTAAGGATTCTGTCACTGCTAACAGAGCAGTTTCAGTGGAGTGACCCTTTTTGAACTAGAGAACTGAACCAACATTCGGATTGAGATGTTGAATGTGGGTTCTTATCATCTGTAAACCATGATCATCTCAGTTAGAACTAATAAGGGCAGAAACATCTGGATCTGCCTGGAATGAGTCTGTCTCAGATTAGTTTCACCTTTTAGGTTGGATCATTGACATTAATGCACCAGATTCTAGTTTTTCCAGTGTCACCTGCATGTTTTCAAAGTAAAAGCTTGTAGTTGTGTTGACTAAAGTGTTTCTACTTGATCCTGTGAAACCAGAACCCGGCGCAGGTTCACAGGTCAACGTGGACCCTAACAGAGTTTATTGTGTCACTATCCACACGAGTCCAGGTGGCTCAGCTTGTTCACGGAGGAACGCGAGGCAGGGTCGGTCCATCACTCGTTAGCTAACCTGAGTCAGTTCAGTTTGTTTGAACGTCAGTCGTACTCCACAGAATCCTCCAAATCTGCCACATTCTCCTAAAGACAAGAGGCAAAACATGTTTCACAGTTTGACTGCTTTTGTTTGAAATCATCATTCATGTCACTCACCCAGCCTCCGTGACTTTTGACCCATGGGACGAAGCTCTGCATGTAGCGCTCAGCAAAGCCCTCCATGCGCTGGGTTCCCGTTGCTGTGACTATTCGCCGTGACACCTCCATAGACACAGCCATGCGACGTAGAGTTGGACTACCTGGTGGCGGCACAGGTGGAGCCTCTGATCCCACACTGCTACCAACAACGTCTAGAAGCTTGGCAAATGACGGGTATGAAAGACGAACCAGGCTGGAGCGCAGGAACGGGTCGGACTGGATCTGTTGGAAGGTGTCAGCGTTACACGTCAGGTAAACCTCATCCTATCACAGACGGTGCTTTAGCTGTGTACAGCAGGTCAGCCATGCTCAGGGGGAGGTCCCAGAACCTTCTTGACCCATCTTACCTTCTCATTCATAGCGTCTCCTTCTGAAGAGAGCAGCACAACCAGCTTCTGGACCACTGCTTCTTTACTACAGTCTGACACACAGAGATGACATCACATTCATGATGCTGTCAGCTACATGATGACATCATCAATAAAATCAGTTAGACGAATACGTCAGTTTCCTGTTTCAATAATTCCGTAGATCTTTTACCTCACGCACGACTCACAGTTTGATCCTTATTACTATTTTATTACTAATTATCCAGCTGACATAATTATCGATGGTTCTGAACAAACAGGTGTCAGGAACGCCACTAAAGAAATATTCTGGGGAATGATTCTGTCCTCTTCTTTTAGAGCAGGCTACAAGCAGCTCAAACCCAAAACAACAGGGCAAACCCGTGACCTCTGACCCTGCAGTCTAATTTAGGATGTGACTGGTAAATAACTTTATTAATCTAAGATTATTAATCTAAGATTATGAAAAACAAAAAATGTCTGAATATCATGAACTTGGTCTCATCTAGAAGCAGAATCTGTGTGTGTGTGTGTGTGTGTGTGTGTGTGTGTGTGTGTGTGTGTGTGTGTGTGAGTGTGTGCGTGCGTGCGTGCGTGCGCGCGCGTGCGTGTGTGTGTGTGTGTGTGCGTGCGCGCGCGCGTGCGTGCGTGCGTGTGTGTGTGTGTTACCTGATGATGACTCTAGTGTAACACTCGGGGACGCGATCCTGGAGGATTTCCTGGCTATCTTTTCCAGCTTCCCGGCCAACTCCTCGTAGAAGCCACCTGTGTGACCTGCTTGAACACCAAACACAGGAATCTCAGGAGCTCTACAGGAACACTCAGACACCTGCAGAAGTTTGTAGTTTGATGGTTTTTGTGTGACTTTCTGATGTGGTGGAGGACCGTACTTGGAGAAACAAGGTCCTGAGCAGAATCCCGTCCTGCCTCTGAAGGCAGGACAGACGGCCTCTGGGGAGATGCTCCGCTGTCCTCCTTCTCTCTGTCTTTCTTCTCTTTTAGCCTCTTTTTGAAGAACTTGGCGAGCTTATTCCTGATCTTTACTTGTTTCTGCTTCCTCCTCTTCTCGCCATCATCTTCATCGGAGGAGGAGGGAGATAAGCTATCCTGCTGATTGGTTAAAGTAACAGTTTAGTCAATCAGACACATTTATGTGTTGTGAAGCACCTTGGGGGGTAGGGCTGCTCAATTAATCGAATTTTAATCACGATTACGATCTGAGTTTTGAACGATTATAAAAACAAAACAAGCCGATTATTTGCTCCTCCCGCTTGCGCTGCCCTGAGTTGCAAATGAAGCGCTCCTCCCACAGTGTTGCCAACTTAGCGACTTTGACGCTATTTCTAACAGCTTTTCAGACCCCCTTCATGACTTTTTTAATCCTAAAAGTACCTAGCGAACACCTCAGAAACATCTCTGGTAACCCTTAGCTACTTTCTGGATAACTGTCGTTGACATTTCCTGCAGGTTAGCTAAACACTCCGCCTGCGCTCCGGACCGTTCTTCAGGACATTAGGAAAGGGAATGATGTAGTGATGTGTCGGTCGCTAAAAACAGCTCTCGGAGCCGGCTCCCTGTTGGAGTAACCAGAGTGAGTGACACACACACCGCACCTGCGGACTCCTGAGCCACTAAAAACGGCTAAATGTGCGTATGCGGCGTGCTAAACACACGTGCAGCTTGCCCCTGATTGCTGTGAGACCGGGTTGGGGGGTGGGGGGTGCAGCTGTGGTTGGGACAATTATTACATTAACTGATGGACTTGTAAATAAATAGTTTATAAATAAGGTAGAAATAAGTTCCTCACGCTGATAACTAATAACTAATCTCTCTGAGGACACGGTGCTAGTGCACTCTCCTACAGCACCTTGACACGACTCAATAAATGTTATGCAACATTTTGTGAACATCAATTTATTTGCATTTATTTGTTATAAATGCCACTGTATAATTCTTGCTGTCAGTATTTGCAAGATATTGGTATTTGGGTCTGTACTGGTTAGACTTAAATGAGTTAAACCAAGGTCTACAGCCCTTGGGTCATAAACTATGAGCTATAAGTATATTGGTCTTTTTATACTGGGAATCAGGAGTTCTTTTAGTGATCATCTTGTTTCTGATTTTTGTCCTGATTGTGCCCTGAGCAATTTTATGACTGAATAAAAACAAAAAAAACAACATAAATTGAAAAATCGTCCTAAATAATCGTGATCTCAATTTCAGTCACCATAATCGTGATTATTATTTTTGCCATAATCGAGCAGCCCTATTGGGGGGTTCTAGGACTAGAAGGTGCTATATTTTCCAGTCTGTGTTCTTCGTTCCTGCTGATCTTAGAGGAACCAGCAGGTTATATTTGAGTCTGATTACCCCACAGCTTCACGGAGACTCACCTCTGTTTGGTGTGACGGTTTGGCCTTGCTGCTCCTGCCCAGGGAGCCTTTGGAATCTTTTGAGCGAAGTATTGAGTTCCGATAAGGCAGCTGCTTTATGAAATCTTTGAAACTAGTCTTCCTCTGCCCTTCATCTTCACCCTCAGACTGATATCCATCCTTAGATTTGGACTGAGGTCTGGAGCTTAACAGAGAAAACATGATGAACAACAAGACAAACGGGGTGTTCGCCTCTCGGTTCAGAACTGAACGGGCTTGCGGTTGTGTTACATGGCCTACAAAACCGTCTGCATCCCAGCAGCACGTGGGTGTCCAGCACCAAAACCACTAAAACTACAGATCCCAGAATGCACGGAGACACGCCCAGCACCTGTTCCTCTCTGATGATGAGTCAGTCTCTGAACCCAATCAAGAGACGAGTTCCCTCTGCAGTCTGACAACTTCTGAATGACTTAAATTCTGATGTGGAAAAAGGCAACTGCTCTCTAACATCTGATGACGTGATCCAAGCTGCTCAGATGATCACCGAGATCAGAACAGAAACATGCAAGTTTCTGATGCCAACATCAGACAGGGGTCGTCTCACTCACTGCGTTTACATGCAGCCAATATCCGGGTTATGATCGGGTTAAGGTCGGTATTCGGGTTTCTGAGTTGATCAGAATAACCCGTTTACAAGCATAAATAGAAAGAGTTACCTCTAACTTGCATAACCCGATTTAAATGCGGACGTTGGGGTAGCGTCAGGACATATGGACTACGTCAAGACGCAATATGCGTCATTTCCAGTTCTTCTTGTTCCGGTATCCGTGAAAACAACAACATGTTTCCCAGTTCGGAAGCGATAGCGACCGCGTTTGTTTGCGCTTTAGTTTCCTCGTCACTCCAAAAGTGTGGTGCTGTGCCGCGACTCGCCATTTTGCTCCCAACTTGTTGTTTACTTCCGGTGTTCTGACGCATTCAAGACGTCTCGCTACTCAAAAGACCAAGATTCCTTGCGAACAGAGCATGCGCAGAACACACGCTTTGATGGGGATATCCCGGTATGCGTTTACACGACCAAACATTCGGGTTAGAAAAGGGTTACCCCAGGTGTAGTAACCGGGTTATGAGCATATCCGGGTTTTTGGCGGTGTTTACATGGCCGTGCGGAACCGGGTTATTGTGAATATCCGGGTTTTAAAAGGGTTACTGGCTGCATGTAAACACACTCACTGATCCCACATGGTGATGGACCTGAGCCAAAGAGGTCAGGAGGCTCTGATCACACCTACAGAGTCTTTACTTCCATCTGTGCTTCATCAGGACTTTTACTTGTTTACAGGAGATTGGGTGGTGGAGGCCATTTCTCCTGCTTACAGCAGCAGGGGCCTCCCGTTACCTCAGGGAGTGAGAGCGCATTCTGCCAGAGGTGTTGCTTTATCGCGGGCTCTTCTCAGAGGAGCTCCAGTGAGCCGCATCCGTAGCCTAGTGAACTAGACCAAATTCTTGCTTTGCAAAGTTTGGTCTAGGCATGCTCCACTGGAACCTCTGCAGCCCCAACAGCATTCTGGCTAGCCAATCACAGCTCTCTAGAGGGGTTTCAAACACATAAAGAGCTGTGATTGGTCCATAATGTTGGGCCAATCATAGTGCTCTATCTGCTTAGTGAACAAATCACAGAGCTTTATCCGCTTTGTGGGCCAATCAGGGCACTCTACATGCCTGGTGGGTGGGATGATGCAACAGAGTGAAACAAGAGTATGTCACATTCATTGTCCAGTGGAATGCGGAGATCATTTGAAAGACAACGGTAGAACCCGCCCCACAACCGAGAGCCGTCAATGGAGCGTGGCCAGACTAAATAATACATTTATTTAGTCTGGCTTGCCAGGCTACCGCATCCGTGCTGCCGCCAGCTGGTCTTCACTACACTTTTCTCAACGCCTGTTGTCTGGATGTGACGGCTCCTTCGGTGGCTCACTCTGTCCTGTGTGCTGGATCTCAGGACTCACGTTAACGGGTGGCCTTTAGGGCTCAGTTCCTGATGGCTGCTCTGCGGGGCTTGTCCCATACGTGTTGTAGCAAGTGAATGGACTGAATGGAAATGTTACATTATGCATGAATCTACTGTTCCCTGAAGGAGAGGAACAAGGTACAAGACCATTGTTGCTCTGCTGTTCAGCCGGGCTCGGTGCAGAGCGATCATCGAACATGCAAGCAGCTGTATTTATCTGCAGGCGGAGTCTGGTGGCCTAAAGGCCTGATTAAAGGTGTCTTCAGTCAGATCACACAGGGTGGGACATCCCATACTGCATGTGTAGGACCTCTCCTTCAGAGAACAGTAGTTACATACCAGCAAGTCTGTGGTTCAGAGGAACAATCTTGTTTTTGAGAACAGAACATAACAACTAGCTCACAAGAAGCCTGTGGAGGTAAGTAGCATTACCTGTATTTGCTGTGATCTTTATAGGCTCCTCCCACTCTACCTGGCCTGTCTTTCTGAGGGGTGGACAGAGTCCGTTCAAGGAAAGCCTTGAGGACTAGATGAGTCTCTGCCTTGATCTCCACCAGAGAGACGGAGTAAACAGAGGAGACAGAGGACCTTCGTCCAGGAGACTCCGACATGGCTAACATGAAACCAGACAGAAACAAATAAGTAGAAGACCACACACCAATAAGCTCCTTAATACACATAAACAGAAAGACTGGATATCTAAAGACATTCATTCATTCATAAGCTAGGATAAATGATTCCTTAGGCGTGACAATCCAGGGATCCATCCATCCAACCATCATGTGAGTATTTGCTGTTGTCCATCCTGAGGGACCATTAAGGTTCTATGCTTATTTACACGTTTTTGGTCTCACTGATCATTGTTATGAATTCAAAGACACAAAAACGATTCATCGACAATGATTAAACTTGTCCTTTAGTCCTTTTGATTCAGATAACTCAGTTTAGAGATGCTGTTATAATAGTTTCCATGACAATCGTGCCGTAGAATCTATGGCATAGGCAATATGGCAGACGCGTGGACGTAAACCATAGACATATTGTAGCAGTTACTAGAGTAGGTTTACTTCCTGTTACCCAGGGATGCGTAGCGGCATATGGGGGGTAGTTGGGTGAACCACGAGTGAGAAGGGAATGTCTGCTCGTGACCCAACTGGGACTGCTGCTGATGAAGGTTGTTCCACTGATCAATACTAACTCACGAGCATTTAGTTAATTTGATGCAAACCCAAATGTATTTAGCACAGTTAAAAACAGAATGGATTCAGAACAAAGTTCTGCTCAGAGACAAAACATCGAAACATAAAAGCACAAACAGAACAGTCACCAATAAAAACACACAAGAACAGAGCAGAAAATAGTAGGAAAAACCCACTGACATCTATAGGGAGCCTAGGTCAACACATCGCATATATGATGTCACCACATAATCTCCTCCCCGCTAGCGTAGCTGCTACTTACCACATGACCAGATTCATGGTGGATCTTTACTCCTGAAAGAAGGATTGGAAGTTTGCTTAACTTACAGCCATTTCCCTCTTTTTTGCTCTGGTTTGATGACGTCACTTTCGTGAAGCACATTTGTAGTCCTGGACATATTTTCACACCAAACCTAAAATAGTGTTTCCCCCGGGCAAAAATAAGCGCTTCTTTAAAATTCACGGACGTCATATGTGAAATCCATGGCACGTAACAAGCAGAATTAGAAAATAGCATTTTTGCCCCACTGACTTGGGCCCAGCCTCAATACTCGCACTTCCACCCTTGCGCCCTTCAAATGTGCAATCCCGACCAGGGGGTGCGATGTGCGTAGAGTGTCCCAATCCCCAATTGAGAATGAAAACGTGTCGTCATTTCCGGCTTCAAACCGCAAAGGATTGTAGGTATGAGGGACAGCCCTCCCCCCCAAACCACTCTAAGCGCGCTCATTCCATTCTATTTTTTTCCGGACAGTTGTCCCCTAACATGGTCAGAGCTTGTTGTGTTGTTGATTTCCATACTAGGTCGCAAGACCACCAGGGAAGGCTAGTAGCCAAAGGCACACGTTTATTTCGGATTCCTGTGTGGAAGAGAGGTTGTTCCAGCGATGTGTCTGAAGCTACAAAGAGGCAAAGGATGGCATGGATTGCTGCTATCAGAAGACCTAACTTAACATTTGAGGACACCCCAGGTCACATGTTGGTCTGCTATAGACCTTTCCGTAAAGGTAAGTTTATGCATTGCAGTGAAGTGATTTATCATAGCGAATTTGTAGATACAGCTCACAAATAAGACCGCTGCTGGCCCATTTGTTTCGCTGGAATTAGTGATGGGATTTATGGCTCTTTCATGGGAGCCGTTCATTAGTCGGCCGTTTACCTCAAAAATCCGTACAAAAGACTGGCTCCTTAGAATGAAATGAAGCCAAAAGCAAGAGCAGCGTCTTCCTGCGGTGTCCGTGAGGGTGCACGGGGTTGGTTAGCGTGTTTATACACATATCTGTGGTTCCTCCTACGTCCGTCACAGCAGTGGGTGGGGTTTGAGCGGGTGAGTTGGACCGACTTCCGGGGAGGTTTATTAAGATGAACGCTCTCTGCAGGGGCTCGGCTCTCATCATTCACTTTGAAAACTCGTTCAAAAGATTTGTTTCGTTCGTGAACGTCACATCACTAGCTGGAGTGCTTTGTTTTCATTAGCTTTGCGGGCTGCTATTAGTGTCGTATGCAGGCAAACCGGCCTACAGCATGCTGGAATGCGATCCGGACTGGGCTCCGTCCCTCCACATGGGTCATACGGAGGAGAAAGCGACAACCACCACCTGATTTGACCGGTTTAGACGGGGAGCCAGATCAAAACAACAGCCTGTTGTTCCACATCCGCCGGAGCCAGTGATGGATGATCCAAGTGAAAACCATGGCGAAACCCTTGCAGGTAAACACAATAAATAACGCTGTACTGGGGGGTTACGTGATTTATGATTTGATTAAGCTGTGCCATTGTAGGATGCAGTTCTATGCGTGCAGCATTCTGGACCGTATGGCACAGCACCCCGCCTGCACGTATAATTCTTGCTCTGCTGTCTGCCAAGTTTCACAAGTCAGGAAACATGTCTCCATTAAAATTTATCAGAGTTTGGCCCTTTAACTTGAAGGAATGTTTTCTGAATTATTAAACAGAAAGCCCTTATGTTGCACATGCCAGTTGTTGTATTTTTCTTTAGAAATTTGTAAAGTAAACCTAAATAATCCCCAGTCCATGATGTATGCTGTATCATATTTTTGATGCTTACATTATATCTGCATCTCTAGGCGATCAATGCCCCTCAAAGTGCTTCATTATGGCACGGCATGGGGGCCAAAATTAAGACTACTGCCCAGCAGCAGAAGGCTATATAAGTTCCGAAGCAAACTACCAATCTGATTAATGATAAGCTGGCGCCGGTAACTGAGAGGCTGGCGCTGATTACTGAGAAATAGCACCTTTACCGGCGTTACTAATAGATACGCTAGGGACTAGCAGCCCTCGGTTGTAGTGATGGGAATTCCGGCTCTTTTTAGAGAGCCGGTTCTTTTGGCTCAGCTCACCAAAAACAGCCGGCTCTTTCGGCTCCCAAGTGGCTCCTCAGATTTTATGTTGCGTAGAATACATTTATAACCAAAATAATGCAGTAATGTAAAAAAAGCAATATATCAAATATTTATCATTTCTATGGATTTATGTATTATCTGTTGATGTTACTGTAATCATACTGTCTACTGTATCATCATAAACACCCCAAAAATGACAAAAAAAGAAGATAATTTCCCTTGCCAAAAATTGATTGGAACACTTTAAGAAATCTCCACTTTCCGACGGCTGGCGCTCATTTTCTCACTGTCTTCGTCGCACTCTCCTCCCTCTCTCTCGCCTTTTCCCTCCTCCTCATTCCCTCTTGTCTCCCTCCTCCCACATGTGCTCTGCTGTGTGTCTGTCTGAGTCTGATCCTCCCTTTTCCCCGCCCCTACTGCTCTGTGAGTGCACAGTCTGGACACACAGTTACACATGTTGACCAATCACCTGTAGCTTTCACCAAAGCAAGAGGGGAGGGGGGAGGGGACGGCTCCCAATGACGAGCCGGCTCCCGTCGTTCACTTCAAAGAGCCGGCTCTTAGAGCCGGTTCGTTCGCGACAGACACATCACTACTCGGCTGGTCATTGACTGGTTCAAACACTCCCTCTGCTGTCTATTAGCATGGATGGGCTAACGTTAGCCTGGACGGGCTGGTGCTAGCATTGGAGAGGCTAGCCTTTAGCGTGCCTAGGCTGGCCACTAGCCGGATTTCCTATCCCCTCGACGGACCTTTAGCATGGATAGGCTGGCGTTAGCATCGGAGAGGCTAGCCATTTGCGTGCCTAGGCTGGCCACTAGCTGGATTTCCTATCCCCTCGACGGACCTTTAGCATGGATAGGCTGGCGTTAGCGTCGGAGAGGCTAGCCATTAGCATGTGTGTATATATATATATATATATATATATATATATATATATATATATATATATATATATATATAAGCTCAAAAAAGTGAAACTGTCATTTTTATTTATTTATTTAGTTAGATAGTTTTTGCCATTTTTAGGTGTTTATGAATGTGGAAGAGACCCAGCATCCTGTGATGGCACTAATAACATCAAGAGATAATAAATAAAGTAATATTTAGGTAAATTTAACCCTTTACACGTGACCAGGACACTGTAATCAATTTTTGGCAAGGGAAATTATCTTTTTTTTTTTTGCCATTTTTGGAGTGTTTATGAATGTGGAAGAGACCCAGCATCCTGTGATGGCACTAATAACATCAAGAGATAATAAATAAAGTAATATTTAGGTAAATTTAACCCTTTACACGTGACCAGGACACTGTAATCAATTTTTGGCAAGGGAAATTATCTTCTTTTTTTGCCATTTTTGGGGTGTTTATGATGATACAGTAGACAGTATGAGTACAGTAACGTCAACAGATAATACATAAAACCCTTATTTGGTCAATTTTAGCCTCCGTGAAAATCTGAGCGATTCAATCACTTTTTGGCAAGTAAAACGCCATTTTAGTTGTCTACAATTAAATCATCAATAAAGAATTTAAAGATATTTTGAGGCGTTTCTTATAGGTAAACAGGAGGGTGTAGTCTATTTGGCAAGTGACAATCTTAATTGTATGTGCTGATGTGCTTTTATCTTGTTACTTTTAAATAGAGCAACGTAATGTATAGATAGTAACCTACACAGTGTCATTAAACCCAAAGCTTGATCAGTTTAAATACTATTTTTCAAGTAAAAATGTGTCCCAAACTAACTGTGGCTCCATGTCAAGTGGACTAAAGAAAGAAAGGAAGGGGAAAAATCAAATCACTGGAGAATTGTTTATTTACATTTATACGACGTTTACATTCAATACAGGGTGCCATTTTACATTGTTTATTTTTTGTATCAAGGCTGTAACATAAAGAAAGCCAGTTCTTACCACAATCCGTCTTTCAATCGCAAATATTGCAAAAAGGATTAATATATCCTCATTGTGAACGTTTAAGAAAAATAGCAACACTTAAAACAACTTCCGAACTGGAAAAACTAACATCCACGATAAACATCTGTTTAAGTACCGGAAGAGGTTATCTCTGCTTTCTGAATGTCCATATTGCTAGATATGCCGAGTTTTAGGGCGAAATCCTGGGGAATTTCGTCTAGAAATGCAATTGCCTAACCGTGCGCGATCCCGCGGTGGCTAATCATTTTTTGGCAGCGAGTCGGCACAACACCTGTTAAACCACAGAAACTCTGCTCGAAGCCAGCTTCTGATTGGGATTTGATCAAAGAGGTTCTTCTGTTGATCTGGTCTGGTTCTGGGTTCCCACCGAACCGAGTCTGCTGCTACCAGGAAGACGCACAGCTCAAGCTAGCTGCTGTCTCTGAGCGAAACTTTTAAAGAAGTTTTACTTTCGTTTTGTAAAGCAGCAAACCAAAGCTAGGGTTGACCTGATTTCCACCATTTTTATTAACATTTAAGCTGAGACGCTTTTAATTTAGCCAGTCATATGCCGCAGCTGATTAACCAGATAATAAAACTGTGGCTCTAGCCGTGGTGGAAAGATTGTGACTGATCAGAAAGCCTTCAGGAGGAATCTGAAGCCAACTTCACAGAAGTGGCGCTTATGTTTTTTACAAACGTCTGATAAAAGCGGAACATGCGCAGTCTGTTAGAGACCAGGGCAGCTGAACATCTGGGAGGAGGAACTGGACCCAACTTGGACCCGGGACACCGGCAAATAAAACTTTCCCACACTCACTAAAGTTAGTGGCTGACGTCACAGAGACGATCAGACGATTCCTCTCAGGTAAGCGAAGGTGAACTCACCTGGAACGTCTCCTTACCTGGTTACGGAGGCTTCGGCTTGGTGTCGAGAGTCGGACTCGGACCCGAGATTTGTTCTACCGCGCGCGCGTGTGTGTGTGTGTGTGTGTGTGTGTGTGTGTGTGTGTGTGTGTGTGGTGGCGGGGGGGGGGGCGGAGCGCGAGGGGTGGGAGGAGGAAGAGCGCGCGGGGGGGTGGGGGTGATCTCAGAGTCATCCATCTCTATCCTCTCGGGAATAAAGTTTAATTCATGCATTCATCACACCAAACCTGTCCACGGAGAAAGGAGACAGAAGCAGACACCAACAGCTGATCGTTCATGTGTGCACTAAATGATAAATGACCTGCACTTGTATAGCACCTCTCAGAGTAAGGACTCCAAAGCGCTTTACACTACAGTGTATCATTCATCCATTCACACACACATTCACACACTGATGGTGATGAGCTACGATGTAGCCACAGCTGCCCTGGGGCACACTGACAGAGGCGAGGCTAACATGGGTCTATCTGGAATGAAACAACACACCTTCCAAGGCAAACGTGATTTTTATTTTTGAGTTATTTTCATTTCGGGTACAAAGAGTTCTGCTGCAACCTGAATTAACAAGTAAGTAAACTTTATTTAAGCAGCAATCTTCAGGATAATGAATGTTTCACAATCTGAATAAAACACGACATAAAGTAGAGGACATAAAAGCAAAATAAAACATGAGATCTTGCAGCAATAAACCCACACAAAGGTGATAATAGTGATCACCGGGTTTAATAGTGAGGCTGCTGGCTGTGGGGGTGTTGCTGTAGGCCCAAGGCCCGGCTGGAGCACGGTGCTGACTCGGGTAGGAATATGGATTCATCTTAGGGTCAAACATAAATAATTAATTTCCATGCTTGCTGGCATTTGGGATGTTAAATAGACATTTTCAGTTAAATTTAATGCTTCAAGAAGACTAAAATTAGCTTTAACCGCATTCTGGAATCCCACCATTAGCTAAAGGAGTTTCAGGAGCATCCCGGCCAGCTCCGACCCATCCTGGCCCTGTGGTGAGACGATCCTGGCCCTGTGGTGAGACGGGCACAGGAACATAGCTTCACTGGTTTTGTTTGAGTCTCTGGTCAGTTATGAAGGAAGGTTTGCTCCTCTCATCTTCATGCAGATGTTTGCTGCAAGCATCACTCAAAGGTTCCTTACAAAGTCGTGGATAAAATCAAAACACACACACTCACATGCACACACACTCACACACATACACATCATACAGACACACACACACACACACACATGTACTCTCACACTCACGTACATGCACACTTGCACACGCACATGCACTCACACACACACACACACACACACACATACACTCTCACACTAACATACAGACACACACACACACCTGCACAGACACACATGCTCTCTCTCTCTCTCTCTCTTTCTCTCTCACACACACACATGCACTCTCACACTCACGTACATACACACCTGCACACACACACATGCACACAGACACACACACCTGCACACACACACACACACCTGCACACGCATTGACACACACAAACACATGCACACATTTGTGCCTGCACATGCACATAGACACACACACTCACACACATACACATCATACAGACACACACACACACACACACACAGACACACATGCTCTCTCTCACTCTCACTCTCTCTCTCTCTCTCTCTCTCGCTCTCTCTCACACACGCACATGCACTCTCACACTCACGTACATACACACCTGCACACACACATGCACACAGACACACACATGCACTCACACACACACACACGCCTGCACACACACTGACACACACAAACCCATGCACACATTTGTGCCTGCACACACACACACACACACTACCAGATGAAACTAGTAGATGTAAGGCCCCTGCAGCTCATGGCACAGCCCCCCCCAAACCTGTCCAGCGCCACTGACATGAAGACACTGGTACAAGGATTGGGAGTGACCAGACCAAGACTTCATTCGTCAGAAACATTCCAGCTCTGGAGGTAATTCCCTGCTTCATCATGACGGCAAAGATAGGAAAATCATTTCAGACAAATGAGGAGCTCAACACGGGATATGTGTCTGCTTACCTTGTGCAACACAAAGCCATTTCCTGCCGGGCCGTCAGATGTTGCCTCTCTGCTGCTTGTCTGGATGTGGAGCCTTCTCTGCACTGATCTGCTGTTAGCCACAGCATGTCCTCATGTCTGCAGATCCAGACTCTGCTCCTTCTTCTACCCTCTGGTGCTTCTGTAAATCTGTCTCACCCCCTCCCAAAAAAGTGCCGTTCATTAAAGGTGGGACCAATGGGGAGTCAGGCGGCTGGGTGAGGCACTTCCTTTGTGACAGGAAGCCAAAAACAAACATTGAGAGACCACAAGTGAGGGGGGAGAGATGCTGATATATGATGGCTCCAAGGGAAGTTCATGAGTTCACTCATAGGCCAGAATCAAGTCTCCAGTTGATCTGAATAAAACTATTAAAACAAATACTTCTGACATCTGGATGTGCTCAGATAAAACCTAACTGGTGTGGTGGAGTCCTCCAGGGTCACTATCCACATCTTCAGCTGTTTTTCTTCTCCAGCCTGATGGATTCACCTCTACAGCAGGTCCCCAAGTTCTTCACAAGCTTGTTAATAATTATCTCCCAAGTTTGCAAGAACATGCAGGTATGGGTGGTCCTGAGTGTCACTCTCTGAAAGGATCTCCACTCTGGTCTTCTATTCTACAGGTGATGCCCAGGACCATGAGAGCTGTATCGACCATGACAACCAGAGCCTTCAGCCTCTCAAGGTGAAGCTCCGCCCCTCTAGGTGCTCTTCCACTCGAAGGACAGGGCCGCTATCAGGTGCTGTGAGGAGGACACTGATTGGATTAAGATCCCCCCAAACTAAACAGCTTAGACAAGGTTAACCCAAAGTTCCTTTTCCTGGTTTGTTCAAATCCCTACCACCCCTGAGTCTTTGTTTCCATAGCGACCAAAGCCGCGGTGCTGCTGACCTCTAGAGCTAGCCTGATAGCTTCTGGCTCCAGAAGCTGCAGCAGACATCAGAGCCCCACGCCCCACGCTAGGAGAGCATGCAAACCTCACACAGTTGGGATTCAAACCTGTGACCTTCTTGCTGTGACACAACAGCCTTACCACCCACATTAGGACATCAGAACTTGTCTTCTCTTTGTCTGTGGCAAAGGTCATGAAACACATGAACTGTAAGGTCAAAGGTCAAAGAACAAAACAATGATGCGATGAAACAAAGGTAGGGAAGTGTTGACGAGGAGACGCGCTCTCATGTTCCGGGGGGGGGGGGGGGGGGGGGGGTTATGAAGGAGTCTAATTCCACTTATTATCATGTAACATTTACTTTTAACACATCATTACCTCCAAGCCCTCACGCTGTGTGTGCCCTTATATGGTGGTCATGCCCTGGACCACGATGGCTAATGAGGAGTTTATCTGAAGAAGAAGATGGGGCTCTTCCTGATGAAGCTTATCATTCAGTTTGTTTGTCTCCTTCCTAACTGATAAACTTCTTCGTTTATGTCCCTGGAGAACCAGATGTTAGATCTTTCCTTTTTGTTGCCATAAAAGGGCAGAGAGTGAACAGCCCGCCCTTTCCTGTTGTTCTCTGCTACCTTTGTGGTTAATTTCTGTTTTCTGGGCCTGAAATCTTTCTTCGTGTGAATGAGCTGGTTGGAGCTTTTTTTAAATGACTGTAAGAATCTGTTAACAGGAAATCCACAAGCAGGAAATGCCTGTGTTCAATCTCCAGATGAAACAGGACTGGGCTCAGAGCACGCTGCTGTGCTCACCAACAACCTGGCGCTAACGCTTCAGCGAAGAGCTGCACATAGAAAACCCTGACTTCCTGTTACCTCGCTGTAGTCTGGATGCACCTTTATTATTTATATAGTTAGTACATTTTAAATCCTTAAACATCTGCAAAATCAACAGTCTGTCATCAGCAGCTGCTGATCTAGAATGTTCTGATAAAACATGATGATTCCCCAGGATGACAGACAGACAGACAGACAGACAGACAGACAGACAGACAGACAGACAGACAAATAGTAATAAAATCAAACCTTTACTTAAGAAGCCTTCTCTGGATCCAGATGACCCAATGAATTATAGACCAATATCTAACCTTCCATTTTTATCCAAAGTCCTGGATAAAATAGTGGCCATCCAAGTATGTGAGCATTTAAACACTAATGCTCTGTTTGAGGAATTTCAGTCTGGTTTTAGAGAGTATCACAGCACTGAAACTGCGTTAGTGAGAGTTACAAATGATATTCTCAAGGCCTCAGATAAGAATCTTGTGTCTGTTCTAGTCTTGTTAGATCTCAGTGCTACCTTTGACACAGTGAACATGTTGTAGGGATCAAAGGAACAGCATTAGGCTGGTTTAAATCCTACCTGTCTGATAGATTTCATTTTGTAAACGTACATCACAAATCTTCTTCATACTCCAGGGTTACTTCTGGAGTACCACAGGGTTCAACGCTTGGACCAATTCTTTTTACTATATATATGCTCCCAATTGGTAAAATCATTAGACAGCATGGGATAAACTTCCACTGTTAAGCGGATGATGCTCAGTTATATCTATCCATTAACCCTGATGAACCTAATTGGTTGGGTAGATTACAGGCTTGTCTTGGACATAAAAAATTGGATGACTCAAAACTTTCTGCTTTTAAATCAAGACAAGACGGAAGTTCTCATCTTTGGACCAGAAATTCAGAAAAGGAAACTGCTTAGTCAATCACCTGACCTGAATGGCATTACATTAGTCTCTGAGAACAAAGTAAGGAACCTTGGTGTTATCTTCGACCATGACATTCAAATCCCAGGTTAAACAGGTTTGTAGGATTTCCTTTTTCCACCTTCGGAATATTGCTAAGATTAGAAGCATCCTTTCCAGGAATTATGCTGAAAAACTAGTTCATGCATTTATTACATCAAGACTGGATTACTGTAATTCATTACTCTCAGAAAGTCCACAGAATGTAGTTAAAAGTCTTCAGCTTGTCCAAAATGCTGCAGCTAGAGTTCTGATAAGAATTAAAAAGAGAGATCATATCTCTCCTGTCTTAGCTTCCCTACATTGGCTACCTGTTAAATTCAGAATAGATTTTAAGATCCTCCTTCTCACATATAAAGCTCTTAATAATCAAGCTCCATCATACATCAGTGAACTGATTGTTCCATACGTTCCTAACCGAGCACTTCGCTCTCAAACTGCAGGTTTACTGGTGGTTCCCAGAATATCTAAAAATAAGATGGGAGGCAGATCTTTTAGCTATCAGGCTCCTCTTTTGTGGAACCAGCTCCTAGTGTTAGTCCGTAAGGCAGACACCTTGT